CCCCCCCCCCTTAAACAACTATTTGAAAGATTCAAACTGGATTTTAAACTATTTTCTTCCTATCAGCTTTCTTCACTGTCTAGCTTTCACAACCTTTGAGAAATTGTGCCCAATGGTCAGGGCTGGCTTATAACACCCTGCTGTCTGAGGCAAAGGACAAAATGGTGTCCCTCCCATTTCACCCACAGAACTGTTTGGCACATGAAACTTACTTTAGTACTAATGTTGGGACAGCAGCAGACTGATGGGAGAAAGAACAGGTTGTCAATGTCCACTCCACATCACTGAGCATCTGCTGTCTGGGAGAAATGCCTTACTCTACATAATGATAGTGCTGATCTTCCAGTTACAACCCCCCCCCCCCTGAAATTAGTCCTAGTTCTGAAGAGGAAGGCTAGGAACAGACGTTGATAAAGTTACTTTTTCGGATTCCTAAAATCCTCTTTCCAGCACGCTATGCACAGGAGCATGGAATGGATTCATAGACTCAAATGGAGTCCATAACCTATAAAGCCAACCCCCCCTCCATTAAAAATTTATGAGGAAGGGGGAAAATTTGACACGACACAGCATGAATCCTGGTGACTTCCATGTCAGTGGGGTGGTGAATTCACTCCATGTTTTAATCTGACCTTTGCAGGAGATATTCAAGGTGCTGACTCTAAGCCCAAAATAAATTCAGCACCTTAAGAGAGTACCTTTAAAGTCTTACATAAAGCCAGGAGTAAATTCACAAGCCACCAACACAGGAGTCACCAGTCACTCCTAACATAAGGTATAATTCCACCTTCATGAACTTATTGATTTTAAAAAGAATTTTAAATAGTAGAAGCAGGGCAGAGAAGGGCAACAAGGATGATAAGAGGTATGGAGAAAAAGGCATATGATGAAAAGTTGAAGGATCTGAGCATGTTTAACTTGATGAAGGGAAGACTGAGGGATGACACCTCAATACCTCAAAGGCTGCCACAGATAGGAGGAGGCTTGTTCTCTACTGCCCCAAGGGGCAAGACAAGGTCTCATGGTTTTGAGTTACATGTTCAATTGGACATTAGAAAGAACTCCTTGTCAGTAAGAGCAGTTCAGCAATGCAACCAATTCCTAGAGAGGTGGTGGGGTTCCTCTGGATTTCTTCAGCCTGCAGAGACTGGACAGCTACCTGCTGGGGATACTCTAGCTAGAGATCCTGCATTGAGCAGGGGATTGGATATGATGGCCCATGAGGCCTCTTCCAACTAGATTGGTAGTATATGTTTTATTATAGTGTGTGCTAAACTACCTATGCCCTTCAGAAGAAATGTTAAAACTTTTTACAACACAAAAATGGCCTTTTCATTATATTGTGATATATTTTATTATGAAGTCATGAAAAAGATTGAATTCTGTTTGGTTTCTGAGAATAATTCAAAGTGTTGGTTAGGATCTATATAACCTATATGGTTTGAATCTTGGTTTTCTGAGTGACTGTATTTTTCCATACGAGTTACCTATGTTTTGAGATATTTTAGGGGAGGCCTCTCTGCTTTAGCACACTCACAGGTACACCAGAGAAGACCTTTTTAGTTGTTGCTCCCAGGCTCTGGAAAGAGAAATGAGACTGGCCACCTTCATGGTTGCATCTGAACACCCATAGCATTTGGAGAAAGGGCTGTAATAATGTGCTGTGTCATCCATGTTTGTTGCTTGTAAAAGGATATGCTCTTAGATTGCTTTTAATAGCTAGCAGCAGCAACAACAGTATCAGTTTCACATTTTTGTTTTAATGTATATTTTAAATTGCTTTGGATCCCACTTTGGGAGAAAGGCATATACAAGTCAAATAAATGAACAAATGAGTAATTAAATCCATAAACAAACAGACATCTCATTGGTCAATTTTTATCTTTTCCTTAACAGTGAAATTATTTAGGGGTGGAAAACAGAAGAGGTGGCTGTACTTTACCTTTTGTGATGGCATCCTCCCTTATTCTTTTTAGAAATCTTTCTCTCTCTCTTTGGTATTTGGAAGGAGTTAGGAAGTGGGGCTAGTAGATTTAAGTATACCCAACCTCCCACACTAATTCAATAATTCAATTAGTGTTTCTTCTTTATTTTTATGGCCAATAAATAATTTGTCAGGAAAAAGAACAATTGTCAAAGAGGCAAAAGAAGGAATATGAGACAGAGGAGGGAACATCTTTGATACAGGACTCTGAATGCGCTGAGGCCTAGCTTAGTGCATGAAGGGGTTAACCGGATAGCAATTTGTCCATTGTCTCTCTATTAATATCAGCCACCAACTTAGCACTCATCACCTTTCAAAGCAGTCACCCTCTAGCTAGAAGTGGCGCCATGAACAAGCCAGATGTGATCTCGTCTCTGTTTTCTTTTCATAAACTTTTGAGAATTCATTACAAAAGGAGGGAGGAAAGCAAGGGGGGAAAAAGGAACATATTTATTTTACTTCTTCATTTTTTTTAAAAAAGGAGCAGTCAAAATAGAGGTGCGATGGTACTTTGGCTGGGATTTATTCAAGAAATATATTAGGTTTTTTTTTTTAAATGATCATCACAAACCAAATCTGTGTTACACAAGTCATTGGGAGAGGATGAACAGAATTCTAGCAGGACCCAGTAATCCAAAGGAAATAGGGAAGAAGAGAAGAAGAAGAGAAAGACAAAAGGCAATCAGTGACATCTAGTTATAACTAGTTATATATTGCAGACCTAACTAGAGAGTACGGGTCTTTGGATATGTGCCTTCCAGCTGCCTGTTGGCTTACGGTGACCCCATGAATTTCATAGGGGTTTCTTAGGCAAGGAATATTCAGAGATGTTTTTGCTAGTTCCTTACAGAGCCTACAGCACCTGGTATTCATTGACAATCTCCCATCCAAATAGTAATCAGGGCTGACCCTGCTTAGCATCTGAAATCAGAAACCTTTGGGGTATCTAGGCTGCAGGGAATCAAATGCATGGATGCAATGTATTTTACAAAAAACAAGAAGACAATTGTATTAATTACACCTGGTTTGGCTTGACAATAGGCCACTGGTTGAGTGGCTGTTTCATACTACACAGTTATAGCACTATGATTCCACTTTAACTGCCATAGTTGCATCCTGTAGAGGCCTGAGGCTTATAGTTTATAGAGGGCTGTGGGATTTGGATGGTATTTTAATATTGTATGATGTTTTTAAATTGTTGTGAGCTGCCTCGATTGCGTGACAGAGGGGCGGGATATAAATAAAATTTATTATTATTATTATTATTATTATTTAGGGAGACACAGACCTC